GTCGGTTGTGTTTGACAGCAGAAAGAGACTATGCTAAATTGCTAATCCTCTTGGAGTCTTGGGTATAGGAATATGGTAAAAGGGGAATGAATGGCGGCAATGAAAAGAAAATGGGTGATGGTGAATTGGTTATGTTGTTGGTAGCAATGAGAAATTTGTTGCTAAAGTTTCTACTGACATTTTGTTATTTCAATTTAATTTGTTTTTATTCAATTTAATTATATGTTCTAGAAGTAGTCCAGAACCTTATACAAAATCAAACTTCTAATTTTTTACTAATAATTGCCTATTGTTATTATTTTGTTTTTTTTTTTACTATTATTATATAAGATCCGTTTTGGACCGGGATCCGGTGGACCCATCGGATCTGGATATGGGTCTCCATTTTCTGGACCCGACAGATTTGGGGCGGATCTGGATCTACAGTAGAGAAACGGATCTGGACCCGTTGCCATCTCTACTAACAATAGAATAACTTGAATGTAGACCACAAAAAGTCAATAAGATAAGCGCAGAAAAACTTGGAAGCAATTAGTGAAACGTGTCAAATAGAAGCCGTAAAGTCCATATCCCTAAGTAAAAAAGTCACGTGTCAAATGACAAACAGAATACCTTAAAAACTCATCTCCCAATTAAACTTGCACTAGACAAGAAGCCTCAACTTTAGCTTTTCACAATCTTCCACAACTTCTAGGAGGATAGTCTACAAATTGTAATTTTCTAATACTACTCCGTATTTTGTTATACAAGGATATTTCTTATTCAATTTTTTGGGGTTTTGTGATTAAATTAATGTATTTTCTTATACTAATGTAAATCCTAATCATATTTTTGGACCTTAGTGATCTAGCCAACATTTTATAAAATTTTGGAGTAACGGGTATAGATTGTCATTGTTTGTTTGAATATACAAATTAATAAAACATAAAAAATGATTTTTTAATTATAATTACTTATTAAAAATAAATTAAAAAACAAATAATCTCAACTATTTATTTTTAAAAATTATGGTATAGATGTCCTTGTTTGTTTGAATATACAAATTAAGTGCTTGTTTGGCACTGTTTTTTGTTTTCAGTTTTTTGTTTTTTTGAAAACAAAAAACCAAAAACTGGAAACAAAAAAAGATGTTTTCACTTTTCAATTGTCAGTTTTCAATATTATCATGATTTTAATGGGTTTGTCTAATTTTTGTTTTATTATATGACATATATCATATGAGTTTGAAAACCAAAAAATCAGTTAACAGAAAACCACAACGATGCCAAACGAACCCTAAAAAATATATAAAGTGATTTTTAATTAAAATTACTATTAAAAATAAATCTAAAAACAAATAATCTCAGCTATCTAATTTTAAAAATTATGGTAGTCAAAAATCATAAGACTATGTTAAACGTTTCAAGTTAAATTATTATAGAAGCATATGCGCGTACGTTACATATTGGCAACAACCTTCATTAAACATTTATCTAACAAATGGCGACCCTTAAGCTTTTGTAGAAAACATGCTTAAACTAATACTACAAAGTTACAAAGCTGTGTTATTATATAATTGGACCCAAAAAAAAAAAGAGATTTGTAAGCGATCTTATAAGACTTGGATTGAATTTCAATTGAGATATTCTATAAGCATCCAGAATTTTGTCAAAAAAAAGAGTTATAAAATTGTATTATCACTAAAATTAAGTAATAAAAATGTGATAGTGATATTAGAAAAGGGTCTAAGACATGTGCTTATTAAAGCTTTCGGTGAGAGGTCTTTTTAGAGTCCGACATAATTGATGAAGTAAATAGCGATAGTTTATTATTATTAGATTTTGGTACAATCCCACCCTCTAATATCTTCAACTAATATCCAGGTTCTTGTATGGTTGAGATACTTCAGTCTATATCTTCCTCAAATTTATGATATGTTGTTTATTTTGGGACAAATTTTATAGTATGCCCACGTTACGAATACTATTCCATTGATCTTGACGTAATGATGACCACCTTCTTGAGCCCTTTGGCCCGATGTATGTCAATCACAAATTTGTTGGGGTGTAAGGGTGTAACGCGTAAGCACCAACCTATTCCGGGTTGTTAGAGAACTGGGGTTAGTGGTGTACTGCCTCGATGAAATATACGATGATGAGCTTCAATCTTTGTAACACTAGAGCGTGAGATGGCATGCTAAACCACTCGACGAGTGTCACTTCTTGATTGTATACTATCTCCGTTTCTTATTATGTGCAATAGAGGAATATTTTATGTCTCACAAATAATACTCCTTTGTTGCACATAATAAGAAACGGAGGTAGTATTTTGATTACATACCTCATACCTGGTATGTGTCCTGGTCTTTGTGTTGATAAATTTAAAACAAAAGAAAAATCAGGAAGCCTGCTGCATTTTATGAGTATACTGAGTTGCAGTCACCTTTTTTTTTTGAAAAAATAAAAATAAAAAAAAAATTGGCAAAACTGAAATCTTGCCTTGTTGCTTCTCTGACAATTATTGTTGTTATCTGATATGAATGTTCTAAGCTAGCCCTTTTTAATGTGCTTGGCCCTAACATTTTGCAAGATATGCTACAAGATCAACACTCTCTGAGCCTCTAAAAAGAGTTCTCTCCTTGGGCGATAATACGTTATTCGAATAGTTCCTAATTCATTATCTGCTGCAATACAATAGATGAGTAAGACACTCATGTAGTTAAACAGTTCATTACCAGACCCTAAACTTGATTGGAGATGGACAGTATTGTGTGAAGATCAGAATTGAACCAAGTTTAAAGAAAGCAAATTAATGAGTTCAGATAACAGACATTGCTAAAAGCCTAAAACCAAGAGTAATGGGTAATACAACAGAGTATAAGAATTCTTTCTATTCTTGCAAGACCAATCAGATTTCTGAAGATAGTGTGTGAAGCAACTGTTTTTTACTTTGGCCGAAAGCTGCTTTAAAAAGAAATGTAAAAACAAACACGATTGTTGATCCTTTGCCAAGAACTTTTACTAAATAAAATACTGTTGTCCATACTCTAGACTTCGACTTCCCATTCATAGAAAGGCCAGAGACTCGTGGAGCTGGAGATACAGCATGTCAAGAGTACTATGCGAAATGACTGAAATCTAATATAAAAAGGCTCAAGGCGCACCATGGCCATAGAGAGATTTCCCTGTACCTTATGTGCGGACTTATTGATGTGAGTTGCACTTGATAACAAGTGAAAAGAATGCTGTAAAAATTAGTTGGGCTTATTGAAGTGAAGTGCACTTGATAACTATAAAGTCAAGGAAAATATTTCTGGGCTCTTAAAGTTATGTAGAAATGAGAGCATGTGTAATTGATACCCTGAATTAAATTATTCAATTGCAAATACAATCACTCCTCTGCAGGAATGGTTAATTGATACCCTGAATTAAATTATCCAAAATCGAATGAGGACAAATGGAAAGGAAACTAATTCAAGGCAACCTCCCAATACTGTAGTCTGTGGGTCACTTGGCTCCAAATGAAATTTTCTTCAGGCAAGAGATGGTGTACATAATTGTCAGAGACAGAGTCAAGACCTACTGAGGAGTGGAATTCTGTCAATGAGTAAGCCATGGTTATGTTACAACGAAGGCGAGAGATTCTAATCAGTCTTTTTCGAGCAGGTTGAAGGACGTCGATCCACTCTTTGTGGCATCAGAAGATGCATCAATGAAACAGAGTAAGGTAGAATCTCATTCCAGATTGGAATCCCAGTTTGTGGCCACTTTGCCTCAGACTGTGACGCACTGGCTATCCTCAATTTGATCATGGAACTGAATTAGCAGATACAGATGGGTTAGCAGTAAGGCCAGCAATTTATCAGATTGCAAAGGAGTGGTCCAAGCAACAAAGAATAAGAATTATTTCCAACTTGAATATTGAGAATTTATCATAGCATATCTTAGTGGTAACGCTAGGAAATAATGGTAATTTAATTGACGACTGTCAAAATAAATGTCAGACAGTATACTTGGTATTCAGTAACCATTTCCTAACAGAAAGAGTTTCAGGAAACATACTGGAGAAAGAGTTTCAGGAACCATACTTGATTAGTCAATCTCATTGTATCCCCCCTTAGATGATCATGTTAGTACTTAGTAGTCCCCATATTTCTTGGATGTTTTCTGTTTTTACTAACTCTGCAAAGAGGTCTAAGTCTGTTTGTAGTTTTAATTCTTGTGTCGAGTCTGTTGGGAGCTAAAAGGTTTCAGGAAGCGAAGCAATCTCCTGAAGAACCAAATCTGATATAGCATTCCTAAAAAAATAAGCAGCTTAACAACAGCAGGACATAAAACTTCGATGCAAATGCTCTGGCATACCAAATTCGTCATTATAGGCAAATCCTCCATAAAAATTTTCTCACGAATTCAGTCCAAATTAGCTAATACTACTATTAAAGTATTAATGCAAACCTAGCCTCATAACATACTGCAGAAGGAGCTGAACTAATTTAATCGATTCAAGATATCCACTCTTGTCCATTCCCATTCGGCCATTTCAACCACAGTTTATACAACCAGCAAGATAATCAACAAGTCCAAAGACTCCAATCGCACTCAGAAACATCATCAATTAATCCAAAGACTCCGAATGCATTCGCATCCCAAACTTTTCCAGCACACAGCCACACAAATCAAGAAATAGTCTCTAATCCCCATTCACAAGAGGGACTATATACTTGTATATAGACATAAAGCTGAATCAAATTCAGCAATACTACATTTCTCCTTTTCCAAATTCTTTCTTCTCCTCTAAAAAGCAATGTAATCAAAATCGAAAGAGTCCCATCTTAGCTTAAACATAATACTACCTCCATTTCATATTATTTGCAACGATTTGACATAAATTAGAGAGAAAAAATGTCCGATCGTTACAAATAATATGTAACGGAGGTAGTAATAATCAAAACAAACCCCAAATTTACACATACTGCAATATACTATCAAGCAAAACCAACAAATTTAAACATCAATATAAGATTAAGCAAAATCAATCCAATTTATGAGTAAATCAAGCTCCAATCAACATTTATAGATTAATAATACTGTATTATATGCACCAATGACAAAACAGTGCAAAATCTTCCATGATCAAATTCAACAACAATAACAACAAAATTTTCGAACAACATATCAAAAATTAATGTAAATAAAAATTAAAAATAAGTAAAAATTAGCTCAAGCGACGCTGATTGGCTGCGATTTAGGAGGCTGAAAATTGGAGTTATTCTTATTAGCAGCAAAATCTTCGAGATTATAAATAACAGTGATGTAAAGAGAACAACTTGGGCAACGAGCAATTTCTTCACCAAGACGAAGGTCATCCTTTGTGATTTGGAAAAGATCGCCGCATGGACATGGGTAAGTGTAGGACTGAAGTTCTTCATTCCAGTCCATGTCTTCAATCTCTACATCATCGTACGACATCCTTTTTTAATTTTTTTCTCTCTTCTTAGATGAATTGAAGTTGTATTAGATTGAGGGGTTTAGGTGATTTGTTTGATTTTAGAATTTCCCCAATTTGATTGAGTTTGCGTGGAGTTGCAGAATTAGGGTTCTTGGGAGGAAGGTTTTGGGGTTTTATTTGGAGGGTGATGAGGAAGTTGGCGGCTGGAGTCAGTTTATATATTTCTTTTTTTGGTATTCAACTTAGATTTAAAAGAAACAAACTCTCTATTCAATGATTTATGTTTTTTCAAACTTTATTTTATAAAATTAATTTTATTATTTTAAAAATATATGTAATGACATGAAAATCGTATATAATGATCTAAAATCTTCGAGTTAGAAAGATTTGTTTATTTTTTTTGCTTACTTCGAGTTAGAAAGATTATTTTTAAAATAGTTTTTTTTTTTTTTTCTTTTCTGTGTTGTTGTTCATATGTGAAATTAAGTAAAATAAACACAATACAGGCAATAAAATAGACATGGATCGAAAATGATCCTTTAAAAACCCTTGTAAAAATCTCATGAAACTATGAGAGTACAAGAACAACTGTATAGTTTATGGAAGGTTTGCTTGGTTTATGTAAAGGTGGGTTGGTTAGTTTTTTAGATGCCCAAAGAAATGCCCAGGTCAACCCCTCTTTTTATAGTGCTGAATATAGTAGTCGAAAGAAATAGCTAGAAGATTGTAAAACTTCTTTCATCATCCTTGACTAAAAATTTCATGAGTCATTACTTCCAAATTTCCAATATCAAGTGATATATAGAATGTTTAAGAAGCTAGTATAATATAACCTTAATGTGTAAATAAATCTAGAGAAATAAAGTGCAAGCCCTAACTTTCTTGATTTGAAAATTTCTAAAGCACAAATAAATCACCAATATATTGGGCCAAGGAAATTTGGGCCACACATTCAACAGATACATATCTTAAAAGTTAAAACTATGAGAAAACAAACATTAAGGAACATAAAAAGTTTTAATGTAGCAATAAGAAATGAGAAACTGAGGGAGATAGGGATCCAATAGTTAGCCACAAATTCTGTAGTTTGGTTACTGAATTCTTATATGTCAAGATTCAAGAATGGTCATGTGAGCTAAAAAGATCTTCAACCAACAATTATTAAAATGTCACCTGACATCTTAATTGATCAATATTTCCGCATGCAATGGTGACACACAACAATAATAATAATAATAATAATAATAATAATAATAATAATAATAATAATAATAATAATAATAATAATAAGAGAGGATGAGTTCTTTTATATTAAAAAATAAAAATCACTAGCCTTAAGTGTCGGTTCTGTTTAGCTCAATTTCAGTTCAGTTCAGTTCAGCACCAATCAGTTCAGTTTAGTTCAATTCAGTTCACTTTATAATTTCATTCTCTTATAAAGAATTCATTTCAGCTCTATTCAGTTCAGTTTAGTTCAGTTCAATTCAATTCAGTTTAGTTCTGCTCCAATCAGTTCAGTTTAGCTAAGTTGTTTTCAATAAATTGGTATAGGCCTAAGTGCAAAATGTCTTACCACTGGTGGATTATCGATCTCCTAGAGTCTAAGAAATTAAGAGGAACTTGACTTTGAAAAATTGAATCAAAATCTTCACCAACAAAGTGAATCTAATTAATATAAATCTACCTAACATACAACCACCAATTACACATTACACAATCATACACCAAAAAATTGTAGACAAATTAATAATTACTACTGTACAAGATAGGTAACATAGGTTAACTATGAATCCATATATCTTAATGAATTTGGTACCATAAATTTCAAGTTTTGAGTGTTCAATATTAGTCACAATTTTAATTTAACACTCAGTGATGATCCCAAGTCCCAACTGCCATTTTAAACGGTGCAAACTATGGAGTATAACATTTGTTTTATTTTTCTAAGGTCAATTTTAGGAAAAATTATTAGTAGGGTTGGAGATTTTAAAATATCATTGACATTACCATAAGATTAACATGGACACGTGGACAATGGACATTATCATAACATAAGATTATCATTACATTACTAACAAATGTTTTTCTTTCCACCACAAACAAATTTTATTGTAGGGTGAAAAGGGGATATATTCCGTATAATAGATGACAATGGGGGTTAGTTGGGAGGTATATTTTTTAAGTTCTAAAGTACTACTTGTATGTAGTAGTAAGTCAAGGAGAAACATAGTCTTTTACTCTTTCAAGTCTACTAAATATTAATTGGGTAATTTACTAGCTGGTAAACTTTGTCCTTCATAGACTGCCAGACATTCTCATAACGTTACTAGCTAGTTTAACTCCAAGACAATCATTTTTCAACTTTTAGGATGGAGTGATTGGAGTCCTAGAGATTAGAGGTAGGGGTGTTCAAAAAAACCCGACCCGATTGACCCGACCCGATGTCCCGATGACCCGCAATAATTAAGTCGGGTAGTTTGAGAAAATTTTTCATTTTTTCAAGTCGGGTACCCGATCCGCTAAAAATATAAATATTCGGGCCAGGTCGTGGGCCGACTTAACCAAAAAAAAACTTAAAATGTTCTTTATTATTCTTATCTAGGTATCTTACATCTTTTTATGTCATATAAATCTTTCATCTTTTTATTTCTTATAAAATCTTAGGAATATATTTTTTGGTTCAAAAAATGGTATTTACCTAAATAAATTACGATCATATTTGACAACAATATATATATACACTAAAATAAATTGAAGTAGGAAGTTGTTAAATTTATTTGGCCATTATGTAATCATTTAAATAAAAGAATATTACTATGTATTTACTATGTAATCTTTTTACAACTAGGATCTATTCTTTTCATCATATATTTAGAGTACTCACGCACATTAAAATTTTTACACATAATATTTTACCCATAAATATATAACTAACTTATATCCTACTTATTTTAGTCAAGATTATATTACATTTTAGTAAAAGATATTATTAATTGTATATTAAAGATTTTATCCTATTCATTTTAGGTATATTGGCTACAATTTATTGTAATGAATAACAAATTAATGTAAAGTATTTCACTATTATGCCACTAAGCTAACCTTTGTTGATTTTGTGAGATTTTATACTTAGGGTATATTCATATTTACTTATTTTCAGTTCAGTTCAGCTCCAATCAGTTCAGTTCAGTTTTATGCATTTTAATTTTTCAGTTCAGTTCAGTTCAGTTTAGTTCAGCTCCAATCAGTTCAGTTCAGCTCAGTTCATTTCAGCTCCAATCAGTTCAGTTCAGTTCAGCTCAGTAAATATGAACAGCCCCTTAAAGCTTTTAAAACCTTGCAATTGCACGGGTACTATACTAGTTTATTTACCTAAATCAAAATGTGCAGATTTTCACATCAATCTTCAAAGTAGGTGGTAATGCATAAAATAATATAAGATATGACACATTGATAATGTCTAAAGATAATCGGGAAAAAATTGTAGTGTCTTAGAAGTTAAAAGCTGAATTTCATCGTACATCTCAGGAAAAAAAAAAAAAAGGTAATCTGAAAATTCCTACATTCATAGGGTGTATGCTTAACAACTGAAACTAGACAATTGTATTCCTTTTGGGATGCAACTATTGTCGGAAATGGAAAAACCTGTAACACGTCTAAGGACTACAGGGGATAGATAAGATTGAATTACAGCCATGGCAGCATTGCTTAATGCCTCGTGAAGCATGACAATGAACAGCAAAGAAGGTACACTTGTTCTATTTTACACACCTATACGATGAAAAATGAAGCCAATCCAGAGCATTAGTACATTTATGGGCTATGGCAACAACGCCTCCTAGTCAGTTAGAAACCCTGAACGTTGAGCCCTGAGCCATCTAATGGACCGGAGCCTCAAATCAAAACACAGTTGAAACAGGTATTTAATCTCGGTACAACATCTACTCTCGGAGTTTTGATTACCTCAAAATTGTCCATAGGTCAATTTCGACCTTCCTTCCTAGCACGTTGTCGAATAACAGGTCTGTTCTGTTTCTCCCCATTATCATTCCGGGTAACAATTTTTAACGGATGAGCCTCAGTATTAAAGACCCATTGATCTAGGGGAATGACAGTTGAGGGTGAAAAGAGAAGATACAAGTATTTAAGGGTTTCTGCCAGGAAGAAGCTTTGCATCATATTGTCTTTAACACCACTATTTACCTGAAAACGTTTAAGCATACTACTCAGCAAAACTTTCACTCAAAGATAAATACAATACGAATTTAACATATAATACCTCAGCATTAAGAAAACTATTTCAAACACCTTCAAACTAGAGGGCACCCCAGTTGAACTTTTTGATAAACATGGGTTGTTTATCAAATGGCAAACTTGTAAATAAATGACCAAAAATCTGCACCATCAGGCATCAGCTGTTCTACCATGAAGCGCACATTTTTGGCTGTTATTTATAAGTTTGCCATCTTGATTTTATCAAGATAATAAACTTGTAATATGGAATCTGGAAGTTTAGAGTTTTAGAAGCTTACATCCTTGAGCCCTACATAACCTGACTCTACACGAGAGTTCTTCTCAAAAGCTTGAAATATGTTCCAGCCCCATTCTTGATATGTCTTATTTCCAGTGAGACGCCATAAATAGAAAAGTGATTCAACCGTTTCTGGTCTCAAAATGTTCCATGATATGCCCACAGACATATCCTACATTGCATGTACATCCAAAGTACATTAAACAAGAGAAGAATTTCGGCTTTCAAGTAAAAGTAACTAAGAAGAAGACTCACCTGCCCAGAGTGAAAGAAATAATTCTCCCCTGCTAATTTAGTAGGTGTCGACTGGTAGAAGTTATAGCAAGTCCATGCCAGCTACAAAACCAAAAAACAAATCAGGTACCCTATTCTTATTTTTAATTTTGAGAGGGAGGGGGTGATACATTTTGCACGGTTTTATCACGAGATTAAAAAAAATATAATAAATAAATAAATAAAATAAAATAAAATAAAACCAAGGCCCTTTTAGCAGTCAGGTCTGTCAAATCAAACACATTACCAGATTTCCTTAATGTACACCAAAAGTGTAAATAAAAGTACTTCCTACAAATCAGAATAAGTGCATCAAATGTCACATTCAGCTGTTTCTGAATAAACGCATCACTTCCATAAATGGTAACCCCCCACCATAGTTTTATTTCTCACACCAACCCCACTTCTCATTATTTTACATATTTCTCTCTTCCATAATCTCAATACATACTTACACTGTCATTTTATTAGAAAAGTTCACCCACTAACATTTATTCACTTTCTTATAATAAATAATTCACCTACAGCTTGCACAACATAATATCCATAAAATTAACACTCTTAAAACTATGTGCCTAACTAAGTGATGCACTTAGTTAGAAACAAATGGAGGACTTCAATAACTTTCATAATAGAGTTACCCTGATTACAAAAGGATCGACAAGAGGATTGTTCATAAACTTGGCCATGCACTGGCCCACATAATAAGATGGGAATTTCAAACTCAAATACTCACTTCCATATATTGAGATTTAATTTGGCGGCAATGAAATTTCCACCAACAAAATAATTTCTCCATTTTCAGGCTTGTCAAGAAGCATCATCACAATGAATGGTAAAGCTGATATGATATGTTGCGCAAAAAACCACATCAAAATATCAAATCACTTTCACCATCATCTTCTATATCAGTGTTAATGCAAAAAAACATAAAGGCCCCGTTTGGTTTAATGTAAAACATTTTCAATGGAAAATTAGTTTTCATGGAAAACATATTTTCAAGGAAAAGCACAATTGCAAATTAGTTTTCCTTTGTTTGGTTGCATACAAGAAAAGTCCAAGAAAAATAAAAAGTAAGAGTGGAAATGTAAGGATGAATGAGAGGGAAGTAAAAAAAGAGGTAAGGAGGAGAGAGGAAAATGTGGCTTCCCTTGTTTTTGGAAGGAAAATGTTTTCCATCATTAAGGATGGAATTTTCCACCCTTGAAAAATTGTTTTCCACTCCTTAACAAACCAAACAAAGGAAAATGGGAAAAAATGGAAAATTCATTTTCCATGCAAACCTTTTACGTCAAACCAAACAGGGCCAAAATATACAAAATCCTTTGTGTATTACTGAATGACTTTCAAAGGTCCTATTACTACGTAATGAATGAAGGGACAATTTTGCAATTATCTAGCGTCAGCAAAGTTGAAGTAGTTTTGCAAATAATTTAACACTCCATAGCTTATCGGCACTTAGCATGCTTACATGAAACTAGCAATATATTACACCTAAAAGTAGTTTAAGAAAGTTGAACCATGCATTGTGTCAAACATAATGTCAAATACCTCCTTAGCAAGTGACATAAATTTCTCTGATTCTCCTGGACCATAACCCGCGGATCCTAAAGCCAACATTCCGGGAGCGAAGCATGCTAACTCATCCATCTGCACAGATATATTTTATTAGAAATACAAATAATATTTCAAGGCAAGAGCCGTTATTTCATTGCCAAAGCCCTACCTTATGATGCAGAGAATTCCCATTTCGCTCGCAAATATATGTGAATGATGATGGTGTTGTCTTCTGGATCAGAGTTAAAAGCCCATTCATAGATCTTTCCCACATATCTCTGTATCCAAGATTATCACATGATGTAAGAGAAGCAATAGAAATAAAATATGAACACAAATAAGATCATACCTGAAGGCATATACAAGAATAAAGTATGCTAAAATATCAAAATATAAGGTTCCACTTCAGTGAATACGGTAGATGGTGACCATGAGTCCATGAGATGTAGAGAGGCTAAAATGACTAAACAAATAGCATAGAAATAATATAAGATTCACAAAACACTATTCTCTTCCTCAGTAGCATAGTCACAGAGTATATTAAGTCATCAAAGGTGGTTATGCATGATAGCTCACAAAAAGTATAACTCACAAGGCATTATAATAAATAAGTCATCAAAGGTGCTAATGCATTAAACTTAATTGCAGCAAAGATTCTGTAGAGACAAACGACTTTATTAATCATCAAGAATAAAAATTTAAGAGAAGAAAATCCGCCATGATCAAAAGTCAATTCTATAAACCAAGGGTCAATAAAACATTGTATTAAAGCAAAGAACGGGGAATAAATCACTAAAAGTCAATAACCTGTATGAGAGAGAATCAGCACTATTCACTCGTTTAGCTTGATCCACTATTTTCTTTATTCCCAGACAAGAAATTAATGTAATGCGCAAGTAGATATCAGCGAAACATACCTGTAGAGGTTTACAGATGTAGTTTTATTCCCCTGTATCCACACCTTGAGTAGATATTCATAAAAGCTGCAACCAAATACTTGGGTTAAAAACATTATTATCCATGAAAAAGCCAGAAGAACAGAAATAATATGCCTTCAAAAGGACAGTTTGAGCTTACAAAAAACAAACAATCCTTACCTGTCACCCATAGCACCAAAAGTGATAGTTGTACGTGATCCCTCTCCACTATTAGGATTAATGTATATAGGCAACAGACCATCATCAGGGAAGGTTTTATTGAACACTGATATTACATTTTCTACCTACAGATCAAAACAAAATGAAAGCGAGACTTTTTATAACAATGGGAAAGTTTGCTCTGTAGAGTACGTCCCTTCAACATGTAAAAAACCACAATTACATTTGACAAATTACCTTCTGCTGGTACTTAGGGTTTCCTGTCCTCTGAGACAGAGCAATAAATTCAAGTTGCTCAGTGCCTGAATCTGCTAATATGCTGTCGCCCTGCCAAAAAAATGATAATGAAAAATTAAATTCCCGTAATACTATAAAAAAAGCCCTTCCCATGAAAAAGGACATGTATATCAGGACCCTCATCATGTAGCTTTTCCAAAGAGCAGCAGTAACTTAGACAAAGTGAAAGCATATTATTCTGATTCTTTCCCAAAGAAATCACATAGTTTATCAATTACATAAGCAATAGCTAAACGGCCTCTCCACTCTTTCCTGTATTAACCCCTCCCCACTGTTCCCAGACCCAAAGATGCTCAGGATTATCACCAGGTGGTGATAGTAATTATAAACATTGTGGCAAACAACATTTTCAAATTCACTTATATTAGAGTGTAACACTCTAGTGGTTACTCACTTGTATTAATATTAAGTTATGCAATAAAGACTTGATTTTTGAGGAAAATGGGCAGCTTTTGATTAATATGAAAATGGAAGAAGCAAAACAAGAGTAGCTTGAGGCTACTAGTCTCTGATTTAGCACCTTTAGGGCACCACTCTCTAACTCTAGAAATTACTATGATCTTGCCTAACTAGCACATCCCACTCTCCCTTTCTTATATATACATAATCTGCCAAAAGAAGGAAAACAATAAAAGTTGTTGTAGCAGCTGTCAAAGCTCTCCTCTGATTGGATGATGCTGCTCTGCTTGGTGACTGTTCTCTGCTTGGGGGCTGCCTTGTTGTTCATTCTCTGACATTCTATTTTGCTGACCCTTCCTTCTCCTTCTTGAATAAGTAATCAAATCGTGACCCTTGTTGAGCATTGAGTCCGTTACATTCCCTCCCCCTAGAAGACTCACCTTGTCCTCAAGGTGAAAGGAAGGAAAACGCTCGTTGATGAGAGAAGCTTCTTTCCAGGTGGCCTCCATCATGGGTAAATTTTCCCACTTAACCAACACCTCCAAGTGAGAGGGAGAGCTGCTGGATTTTCTGTCAGCAAGCACCTGCTCTGGTTCTGCCAGCAACTCCAGTTCTGCTGTCAACTGAGTTGGTATGGTAGGGCTCACTTCTTGGCTGCCAAGTGCCTTCTTCAATTGAGATACATGGAACACAGGGTGTACGCGGCAAGAATCAGGCAAACTCAGCTTGTAGGCCACATTTCCCACGCGTTGCTCCACCAGAAATGGTCCATAAAAACGCGGAGAGAGCTTCTCATTAGGCCTCTTAGCAAGAGACTTTTGTCTATATGGCTGAAGCTTAAGGTAGACATAATCTCCCACCTGAAATTCGACCTCTCGTCTCCTTAAATCCGCATTTGCTTTCATCCTTTGCTGTGCACGAAGCAAGTTCATCTTCAAATCCTCAAGCACCCAATCCCTTTCTTGTAACCAAACTTCCAAGCTATCCACCGGAGTTTGGCCTTTCCCCACCTTAATTAGCTTCGGGGGATCCCTTCCATAAACCACTCGAAATGGGGTAAACCCGATTGACTCATGGTGAGCTGTATTGTAAGCAAATTCAGCCCAATGTAACCATTTTCCCCAAGATTTGGGCTGCCCATTCACGAAGCATCTTAGATATGTTTCCAAGGTCTTATTGACTATTTCCGTTTGACCATCGGTTCGGGGGTGGTACGCGGTGCTTCTCTTAAGTTCCGTGCCTTGTAGCTTAAACAACTCTCGCCAAAAAATACTCATAAATATGCGATCCCGATCCGAAACTATAGAGCTAGGAAACCCATGAAGCTTGACCACTTCCTTAACAAAAATGGCAGCTATTGTGGCAGCACTATATGGGTGTTTTAGCCCAACAAAATGGGCATATTTGGAGAGTCTATCTACCACAACCAAGATAGAATTCATCCCCATCGAATTGGGAAGGCCTTCAATGAAGTCCATTGATATGTCCTCCCATATGGCTTCGGGAATGGGTAGGGGTTGCAAGAGTCCCACGGGCTGCATTTGAGAGTGCTTTGCTTGCTGACAGATGGGGCAGCGTTACACATGCTCCCCGACATCCTTTCTCATCCCAATCCAATACCACTCCGAAGCAATTCTCAAGTAGGTTTTAGTCTCTCCTTGATGTCCTCCAATGGGGCTATCATGATACTCTCGCAAGAGCTTGGGAATCAAGGTGGATGACTTGGGTATTGCCACCCTCCCCTTAAATAACAACCTACCATTCTCAATGGTGTACCCCACATACGACCCTTCCCCTTGCTGCACTGCTGCTGCTATTTTTCCCAAGAGGCTATCCTCTTCGACCTCTTTTTCCAACTCTTCCCACTTAATTCCCTGGACAGAAACCATGGCTGCCATTTCCAACTCCGAGCCACCTCTTCTAGAGAGGGCATCCGCCACTCTATTGCTAGCCCCCGGTTTGAATTGGATTTCAAAGTCGAAACCCAATAATTTGCGCACCCATTTTTGATAATCTTCCCCCACTTCTCTTTGCTCCATCAAATATTTCAAGCTTTGTTGATCCGTTCTCACCACAAAGTGACGGCCTAGTAGGTAATGGCGCCACTTAACAATGGCTAGGCAAATCGCCATTAATTCCTTCTCATAGGTGGCCTTTGCTTGCGATTTAGGGCCCAATAACTTGCTGTAAAATGCTATAGGCCTAGAGTCTTGCATTAGCACCGCTCCTAGACCGTAGCCCGAGGCATCGGCCTCCACCACAAATAACTTGCTGAAATTCAGCATTACCAGCACAGGGGCAGCCACCATGGCAGCCTTGAGCTGCTCCAATGCCTTAGTTGCCTCGGTTGACCACCCGAAATTATCTCTCTTAAGTTGTTCGGTCAAGGGTCTAGCTATTTGAGCATACCCCTTAATGAATTTGCGATAATAGCCGGTTAGCCCCAAGAAACCCGCAACTCCTTCAAATTTTTTGGAGTAGGCCACTCCACCATGGCCTTGACTTTCTCCATGTCCACCGCCACTCCACTTTGGGACACCACGTGACCCAAATAAGCAACTTGCTGCTGCCCAAACTCGCATTTCTTGAAATTCACCACCAAGCAATGTTCCTTGAGCAACCCCAACACTACCCTCATGTGCTCTCGATGACTCTCTATGTTGGGGCTATAAATCAAGATGTCATCGAAGAAAACTAACACAAATTTTCTCAAATGAGGTCGGAACACCTCATTCATCAAGGCTTGAAAGGTGGCGGGAGCGTTAGTAAGCCCAAAAGGCATTACCAAAAACTCGTAGTGGCCCTCATGGGTTCGGAAGGCGGTCTTGGGTGTATCCTCCTCCCTTACTAAAATTTGGTGATAGCGAGCTTGGAAAAGATGGCAGCCCCATGAAGCTCATCCAAGAGCTCATCGATGATGGGAATGGGGTATTTGTCCGGAATTGTTTCCCGGTTCAAAGCACGATAGTCTACGCAAAAGTGCCACGAACCATCTTTTTTTTTAACCAACAACACCGGGCTTGAAAAGGGGCTCACCGAAGGCTTGATGATTCCGGCCATTAACATCTCCCTAATCATCCTTTCAATCTCATCTTTTTGAAATTGGGGGTACCGGTAGGGTCTTACACTCACCGGGTTGCTTCCCTCTTTCAAAACACGATTGAGTGTTCGTGTCCCCTCTTGGGTGGTAACCCCTTAGGTTCGGCAAAGACACTTTGAAATTCCTCCATTACGTCCTTCAACCACGTGGGTGGTGCTGCCACCAGTGGCTCGGCTCTCTCTGCACTCGAATACATCTCCACATGGTTGATCTCTACCCATAAACCTCCTCCCTCGTGCCTCAACATTGCCCTGAGCGACACCTTAGAGTGCTCTAACGCGGTATTTCCCACCAAGGTCACCCTCCGATCACCCACCATAAAACTCATGATATGTGTCTTCCAATTATGCGTGACCGACCCCAACTTCTCTAACCATTCAATTCCCAAAATCATGTCAGCACTCCCCAATTTCAAAGGCAGGAAGTTATCAACCACCACGAAACCTCCATTCAAGACCACCCTTACCCCTGTACATCTCCCTTTTCCCACGATCACATCCCCATTCCCAAGTGACACTCCAAATTCGCGGTCACCGCTCACCGGAATTCCCACCTCCGCCACTAACACTTCCGAAACGAAATTATGTGTGGCTCCGGGGTCTACCAATATCACCACCGACTTCGGACCATCCTTCCCTTCCAATTTCATGGTTTTCGGCTTTGAGATTCCCACCAAGGAGCAGTGGGTAGCTCCGGCCACCACCTCGTCGTCGCTGGAGTCCAGTTCTGGCGGTTTGCCGGCCAGCTCCGACGTCTTCTTTGCCGCCGAGCAGCAGCACACTAAGCTCGCGGTTCTTGCAGCGGTGGCCCACGCTCCACCGCTCATCGCACCTAAAACAAAGCCCTCTGGCTTTGCGTTCTTGGTGCTCGGAATCGGTCAGCCGCCGCGGCTCCCCGGACCTCGCCGTTGAGCTGGTGGTAGATCGTGGGTGATAATCGGAGCTTTAGGCCACCCTTTGAAGGTCGTGGCTTGTTGGGCAGGGGTACCAAAAGTGTTAATTAGGCCCGACCCGACTGGTGTTTTGGATCCGGATGATCTAGTTGTACTGGTAGTGGGTCGACCCGAACCGAAATACCCGGGTGGTTTTCTTAACCCGTCGACCCGATTTCTCTCTTCGACCCGACCCGCGATCTCCATGGCCTGCTCTAGGTTAAACGGGTTCATGAGCCTGACGTCAGCCTTGATGTCATCTTTGAGCCCTTGTATAAAATGGCCCATCATGATTGTTTCAGGGATGTCCTCCAACGGCGCTGAAAGTTCGATGAACTTCTTTCGATACTCCATTACTGTCGTCTCCTGGCTTGCGGCCAGCCACTGCTCGTGGAGGCTCCCGGCGTGAGTTGGCCGGAATTGACGCAAAATCCGCGCTTTCATGCTCTCCCACGTCGCAATAGGCCTCCTTCGATTTTCCCACTGGAACCACCTTAGTGCGTCCCCTTCCAACGCCGAGACAGCCGCCTGCAATTTTTGCTCCTCCGTGAGACGGTAGTGGAGAAAATACTTCTCCCCTTTAAGGATCCATACATCCGGGTCCGCACCTTCGAATATGGGCATATCAAGCTTCCTCGGCTTCCAATGATAGTCACCACCGCCGTTCTGGTTGCGATTTTCATGGTTGTAGCCTAGTCCTTGTTCGTGATGCCTCTGGTTCACCAAGTTCCGCAGCTCTTCGAAAAACTGGGCTTGTGTGGTGGCGTTCGCGGCGGTCTGAGCTTCTTGCTGCTGCCGTAGCAGCTCAAATTGATTATCAAGCTTCTCACTGGCCTCACTCAAGGTCTTCTTGAGTGTTTCCTCTTGTGTTTTCATCGCCGCCTCCATTGCTTCCAACCGAGCTTGAACTCCAGCCATTTGCTCATCCAGGACCGCCGCTCTGATACCACTTGTAATACTCTAGTGGTTACTCACTTGTATTAATATTAAGTTATGCAATAAAGACTTGATTTTTGAGGAAAATGGGCAGCTTTTGATTAATATGAAAATGGAAGAAGCAAAACAAGAGTAGCTTGAGGCTACTAGTCTCTGATTTAGCACCTTTAGGGCACCACTCTCTAACTCTAGAAATTACTATGATCTTGCCTAACTAGCACATCCCACTCTCCCTTTCTTATATATACATAATCTGCCAAAAGAAGGAAAACAACAAAAGTTGTTGTAGCAGCTGTCAAAGCTCTCCTCTGATTGGATGATGCTGCTCTGCTTGGTGACTGCTCTCTGCTTGGGGGCTGCCTTGTTGTTCATTCTCTGACATTCTATTTTGCTGACCCTTCCTTCTCCTTCTTGAATAAGTAATCAAATCGTGACCCTTGTTGAGTATTGAGTCCGTTACATAGAGACTGCTACATCGCCAACAAGACCCAAATGATAAGATGCCAAGTAGCTTAAGCATAGGCTTTTGTGGGAAAATGCTCACAGCATGCTATCCAAAAATGCCAAACAAATTTTATAGTCATTTGAGCCAGAAAAATATATCTTTAAAATTCAAAACAGCAAAGAAGCATGTACACATAAAAGGATCAAAATGGTAACAGTATTCATATCCTCACAACTTACCCCTGTCCACCCAGGATTATGAGGTCTTCCATGCGCCAGGTTAATAATGTTATATGGTATACCGGAAGACGTGTCCCATGCAGGTAACAGTCTATCAGCAATATCTTGGGCTTTTTCAAGGAACATCTTGTCATTGGAGAGATCATAAGCACTTAAAAGTCCCCCTACAACTCTGTATTAACATGAAATACAAGGAATAGGTCTCAAAAATAAGCAAGTTGGAAAACTTTTAATGCAGAAAACATTGTATAAGATAAATGACATTAAACCTTATAAAAGCAACCTTATGGTTGTCTCAAAGACACTAGCATCATAATCTTTGTTGAAATCCAACATATTGGCAACCCACCTGCCAAAAGAAGATGCAAATCATCTAGCTGAGCAATCATAAAACACAAATAAACACCAGTCAAAAGTAACATACATTCATAAAAAAATTAAAAAATAAAAAAAGAAACGGCAAGCACAAAAATGAAGAGAGCCAATATTAGTAAATTCATGAACATATGATCTTTCAAAATAATTAGGGAAAAGTAAAAGTGGGCTTCAAAAAGATAAAAAGACATGAGCTATAAAGTAAAGAGTGATGGATTTAAAACATTAAGATTTTTTTTTTTCTTCACCTTATTCTTATTACTACTCAATCTAATTAAAATCAGCCCACACTAGATGAGACTGGAAAAATTCAGCTCAAATCAAACAATAAAATAAAAGATAATGAGTCAAATCAAAAATTAAAATCAGACTAGACCAAACTAGACCACATCAGAGCTTAAAAATACATATTAGAACACCTAAAAAAAAAAAAAGTTGAATAGAACAAAACCTACACGTATAAGCAACATTTGATTGCAAAGATGTTTCTCAACCTCATAGTTCGAGAGAGAAAAATAAGATTCATCGGTTCATCCCGACTTTGTTTAATTCTTCAAATTCAAAATATAGTTAATATACAGACTCAATTTTAAGCATCACCGTCATGACAAAAAACTTAATGTTATTGAGAAAAGCACTCGTGCCAATGACTGGTTGCAATAATTTGGAGCTCATATGGCTATTATAAAACTATTAAGGGTATAAGGACCCACACCTACCCATTAATATCTAAAAATAAGAAAATTTGCAAATTGCTGCCATTTAAAGTTTGTATTTTGCAAATTACAGTCATTTAAAAAAAAAATGCAAATTGCAGCCCAAAAGTTCGTATAAATTATAAATTGCAGCCCGATTCAATTTTTTCATCGGTTTACAAGTTGAAAAATCTTCGGTTAAAATTATAGGGGTCATTTTAGCCCTTAAGGGCCCGAATTGAGCTCGAAATTAGCAAAAAAATAACGTAAGTGTCTCATATTTATAGTTTCCCACAAATCGATACATTTTTGTTATGCAAAATGAGGCACTTGCGTTATTTTTTTCTAATTCCGAGCTCAATTCGGACCTCAAAGTCCTATAATGGCCCCTAAAACCTTAATCGAAGATTTTTCGACTTGTAAACCGATGAAAAAGTTGAATCAGGCTGCAATTTACAATTTATACGAACTTTTGAGCTGCAATTTGCAAATTTTCCCTAAAAATAAGTATAAAAATGTACATAATTACATATAGAAATAAAAAGCACTAACTAATACTTCGTATCACATATAAATCTGACTGAACATATAACAATTTTAATCAATCTATTTTTAAACAATTTAACAATCGCATGTCAATTTCAAAAGCATGGGAGCCGAGACAACGAAGGTAAACCTTCCCTCGGAAAGAAAATGTCAGAGAAGCATGATATAAAAGGGTACCAGAACTCACTCTCTAGCTCTCTGGAACTGTTCGTCCAGGCCCATAATATACAATGTATCCAATGAGTCTATCAGTGTAGCTCCAAGACCTCCAAAGCTATTGACACCACTCTTGCTCTGGGGCTGTAGATATAATGAACTTTATTGATACAAGCACAATATAGGACAGGTGTGAATTAAAAGTAAAAATACTATTGAGTTGGAAAACCAATAAATTCTTTAGATAGCTCAAGACAACAATGATCAACCACTCAAAACAAACAGATAGTAGAGGCTATTTTTGTGGATTATGGTTTGTCTTTTGACAGGCATTCAATAATTGATTAATACAACCAAGTACCCCTTCATCATGGATCTGAAATAGTGACATGGAAATCTTAAATAGAGGCACTCATTTTTTTTATGGTTTTCTCATATCCAACAATGTATAATTAATCAAACATCTCGATGAGTAACTAAGGATATAAAAGTGACATGTTCTAAGCATCACCAAGGAATACCTGAAGTTCATCTTGCCCCCAAGCATATTTCTCATAAGAAGTCCAAGCGTGTAGCATGGCCTCTTTCACTTTTTGTCTTCGCTCAACGTCAAGAGGATCATCTGATACAACCTTTTTTGCCAGAATATCATTCTTTATCCCTGCAACATTTTTTACCCCTTCAAGCTGTAAAGAAAGAGAAATCAATTCCACAAAGAATCAAATGATACTTAAAATGTAAAAATAATTTAATGAATACTACTTCCTCTATTTTTTTATTCTTTTTTTTAACTTACAACACTTCTCTTTTCACGCTTGCCGATGCATTATTTCAATCACTTAATTACTAATATGTAAAAGTTATAAACATTTGAAATTAAATAGTATAATCCAGACGAATCCAACAAGATCCCACATGACTATATTTTTGCTCAGTTATAAATCATCAAAGCTAATTAAAATAGAGCATATGAATAGTGTAAAAGTCAAATTGTTGCAAGTAAAAAAAGGGGGGGGGGGAGAAGTATATCATTTGCTTACTTAAGAAGATTTTAAAAGGCATATAATAGCCAGAAAATGATTATGTCAATAATTTCTGGCAGAAAGTTTTGAGTTATATGAATCCTAAAGAAGATAGCAGCAGTAAAATAGGTTGACCAATGAGAATAAACAAAGGTTTTTCTCTACATACAGAAGAAATCAGCCGTAGAAAAATAATGCTATTTCAAGGATGGCAATACAATGAAGTCATACAAACTAGCAACTAAGTACATAAGATAGGGAAAACTATACAAAAAACAACAATTAGTTTACCTCATCATGCAGCCGATTGACCTCTGAATACAACTTTTCTAATTCCTCCTGCAATCATCAATTTTTAATCAGATTAATGCCTAATTGTATTCCAAAGTTATAAAAATAAAATTAAAAAAAAAAAGAAAAGAAAAAGAAAAAGTAATAGGGAGGGGGGGTAAAACTTTCTCTTTATGAGTCCTCTTTCAACTGCAACAAGAACAGAGCTTGATTCATTATATGAACACACAAGGTTTGACCCAATGAGACGTATTAATGACAAAGGCTCTCTGCAACTTCATCACTTACAAGATCTATCCATCATCCGTGATTCAGTTCCAACCCATCCAGATCTTTACATGATCTCTCCTCCAACTACCTAGGATGTGTAAACTTCACTAAGCCGTAATTCATCAAAACTGCCAATAAACAACAAGCATCTCCAAGGAAACACACCCAATAGAAAAAATCCCCAATCAAGACCCTCCCCCCCCCCCAACCAATACTATGATTAGAAGAAAAAAAAAGGCACCAGTGTGGGCATCACGGGAGTCTAAATGGCACGGGTACTCTGCAACTTCATTGTTTTTGCTTTCAGGTTATTGCCATGTCACATTATCCATCAGTAAGATACTTCGCACATTCATCTAAATTGTCAATACTATAGAAGCGATTTTAAGGAATTAAAAACTTCAGTAAAACAACTGAACTCACCCAAGTATTTCTAACTTCTAATTAGAACATACCCATAGATACCAGTGATTACCTAACCGCGAACTGGCCTTATCCATCACTACTCCATTTTTAGCCCCGAAACAGCTCAAATATCAATTCTCTAGTCATCCTATAATTCTTACTTATCTCTAATTTACAACACATTTTCTCTCACTTCCCAAACTTCCATGTCACCATGATCCACTTCATCAATCACATTTCAAACAAACAATACAACATTACACAACATTAATAATCAAACAGCATTGTCACCTAAAACTTCAAAAGATTCCAACTTTCAGCATGATCTCCACCCAATTTAGCCAATTATCAATCAATCAAAATGAATTATCCAAAATAAAACCATTAATGAAAAGGCAAAAACAGATCTACCCACAAAAATTAACAAAGAATTTAATTCAATAATAATCAAATAATTGAGTAAATAACCTCGTGTTCTCTGAGTAGAGTCTGGCGATCCCAAACAAACAAAGTGCCAATAACAAATACTATGAACAACATAGCCAATTTCTTTGGCCGCTTCAAATAATACGCCGGATTTACATATCTCCACCAAGATGATGATCTACTTCTCGCCATTTTTCTAGTAATTTTATATACGTAAACCCTAAAACTATAATTTAATTACTGAAATCCAAAAATAAAATCATGAGAAAGAGCTTAAACCAAGATAATTGATTGCAACGAGTTGATGTAATCCTAAATGTTGATTCTAATTCCTTCCTCAATTTTTGTCGGAAATTTTAGGGTTAATCTTCTTCTTTTCCCCAATTTGATTTAAAATTGTGGAATTTTTTTAGGAGAAGAAGAAAAAGATGATGACAATGAAGTAAGCAGAAGACGGGAATCTATTAAGACCAAAATTGAAGGAAAGAAAATTATTATTAAATTACTACGTATTTTATTTTATTCAAAAAATATTCATAATGTAATTACGAGTACTAATTAAGTAATTAGTAGTACTTCTCAAGCAAAACCGATTCGTTCTCCTAAAAAATTATACCCATAATAGTGGTTTGTTTATTAGATCATGGACACAGATTTATGTTCTTTATCATATGAAGTGCGTAACTATGTTTTTGCTTTTTTTTTTTTTTTTATTGTAGGTAACGTGTATTATACTCTGTAAACGTTATAGCGATTACATGGAAAAAGTTTCCCTTAAAAAAATTAGATGGAGAAAGTGAGGAGAGGTTAAAATAATGTAGGGTGGATGGGTTTTGTTGGAAGTGTATTTGATGTGTTATGTTTGTTTGCATCGTGAGTTATAAGCCAAGAATATGTGTGTACATTCTCCAATTGGAGATTACCACATTGATGGAATTAGTTGTATGTTTGTACAAGTCAATGAGTCAACTAATTACTACTAGTACTAGATTTCTAGAAATGTAATACTATGTCAAACAATATCTTTGATAATTAAATGAAAGCATTTACCCTACCACAAAAAGTCACTTGTATAATTTTATTATTAAGATCTTGCTAACGAACGTCTCCGGGACATTAGATAAGCATTTAAAATATCACCTAAAGTGATATTAATTTGGAAAAGAATGATAAAATCACGCGTTGATCGGTGTAATATGAATATAAGTAATCTATCAAGCTCGATTCTCTAATTTTTTATTTTATTTTTTTGGATTGAAGAGTTTTTTTTTCCAGATGGTAGTTTTTTTATTCTAGGTGGTAAATGAAATTTATCAACCTAAACCCCTTTCTAAAAAGAAAGACAAAAATAAAAAAGGGTATTTTGGAAAAGTGAATTTTATCACCCAAAACCCTCTTTCACTTTATATATAGGATTATTATTATTATTGGTACGTTTGACCGGTATGTTATTATGTAGTTTGTTTTATTAATAATACTAAATACGTAGTATTATGTATCTTTAATTACTTGCTACATACTCGTAATAAATATAAATAATAGAGTTAATATTCACAAAATATAACAATTCTAACAAGTGTAACAAGTACTCACATGCCCACATAATAAGCTGTTGATTAATTTTGAGAATTTAGACAAACCAAAGTTAATTAATTATATTACTTAGGCAAAGGTGTTGTATATAATTAATAAAGAATATTATAGCAAGTAATACATTGAAGGAAGCTTAGAGTTCTCGACAACGAGAAACCTTGTTTATGGAAGACAAAGGTGTTGCCCCTGGTTTGTTGCCCGGTCAGCCGCCCGGTCAGGGTGGTTCTCGCCCGATCGGGCGCGAGGGTGGCTGAAAATTCTTCCTCTCCGCCGCCCGATCGGGCAGCCACCGCCAGATCGGGCGTGAGAAGGAGACGAGAATTCACATTCAGGAATTTGGGTAGCCGCCCGATCGAGTCTCCACCGCCCGATCGGACGCGAGGGGACTTGATGTCTGACGTTTTCAGTTGGCCCAATCGGGCGGTGGAAGGCCCGATCGGGCGCGTGTCATGCCTGCTTTGTTTGGCTGACGGTTTTTCTCTTTCTTCCTTGGTATTTGACGGTTATACTTAAGAAAAATCAGATTTCTATTTTTCTTTGTAATCTTTTGCAATTTCCTAATTATCATCATCATAAATACACAAGCTTTATACATTGAATTGTAATCATCCTACTTGTGATTGCAATTATTTCTTTGTTGTATCTCCTAAGTAAATTTCCGTGAAAACCCGGTTGTAGTTTAGGGTCGGAATTATACTTTTGGGAAAGTGATTCTGTTCACGCCTCGAAGTTTTCCGGTTTAATTATTTGCTGTTTTTGAGACCCTTGTTCATTCACAAATTCCCCAACATAAGCTAAGTTCACCACCTACTTGCTTGATAACGAAATTGACTTAACATACTAGTTGCATCATTCATCATTGGTGCCTATTAAGAAATGAAGTTACTTGTGCTCTTGCATAAACGCCTTCTCTTCCTTCCTGCATGTGAACCTACCAGCCACAACACCCCAATCTTGAGACACAGCCATAGATTAATGTCCGAGGTGCTGCAATGTACATCATATATCACCAAAAAAAATACAGGCAAGCGATGCAATGAAAGAATAGACAAATTACCATTGCACTGGTTTTTTTTTCTCCTATACTGTAATAAGTTATCTTCTTTCATAAATAGTTTTCCAAAAAGAGCAAGAGGCTAACTCTCTAGCTTTCCAGCAAATAATTAGTATTGCAATTGCAGAATATCATACAATCGAAATTGCGTACAAGAAGAGGACACATTTTGTCTGCTTTCAGTAATAAACCTCAATCTAACACTACAAGATTACAAGGCTAATCCCGTCAAATGATCTTTCACGCCATGCCCATACTGATAACCCTCTAAAAGGGAATTAAAGATCAGCAGTCCACTAGAATTTAATGTGACTTCGACAACTGCATTGATTGCACATGAAATAGGTCATCATGCCGAATCACTAACATTTCCGGCAACTCTCATTATTTGCCCAGCCTCAAAATTTCCATTCTGCAACCAAAAACAAATTAACAAAAAAAAAAAAAAAAAGATTAAGATCTATGTTGTACATAAGATGACGGGTCTTCTAAATTTCTAACAAACTCAAATAATTTCAGAGATCCTTTCCCAAGACTACTTTACCTCCTCATTCCTAGTATAAGGAAGATTCTGTCCACCCGGCACTGCTGATTTCGAAAGGTCTCTAAGAGTTCCCTATAAATTTCCAAGAAAGAAAAAAGTTAATCTTAAAGTAGCTAGCTGGCATCCAGAAAAAGCAAGTTCAAAAGGAGAGAACTGTATAGACGACTCAACAAAGATACTAATATTCTCTGTCCCCGCATATAATAGAAAAGAGACATACCACAGCATAAATCAATTCTTCGCAAGCATTAACATGATGCCTGCACAGTGGATAATAACAACTGAATGCTACATACCTTGTTAGCCCACATAAGTCCACAAGCGTTGCAAAGAGTCCTTGGGCCTTCAGGGCCACGCCGCATCATTGGCGTAGATTTCTCACTAGTGCCACAATGTCGGCAGCTAAAGTATATGTTTGTAAACAGCACGATAAAATTAAATAAATAAGTTAAGCCTACAAAAATATAGCAGTTTAATATTAAAACGATACATGTTCATCCATGCCTCATTAAGGTGTTAGTATATGCACATGCAGCAGCACAAAAAAGGTATGCATGAAAAGCAATGAATGTTAATGCCATAAGGTTGACAAAAGAGGTAATTAATTCCTTTCATTAGTTATGAATCTCTTTTTCAAGAATATTTTTCCTTATAAAAAAAATCCGTGACTGAACCTCTACAACAGCAAGAATAGAGTGTCAGGAGTGCATTGAGTTTGAAAAATAATCTGTAAACTTACAAATCAAATCAGTAATTGACAATCACTTCCCCCACACAACTCACAACAACATTGCCAAACAAGACATCAATTGCATCTCAGGAATAAGGAAGCCATTAAAACAACCATGATAAAATGGAAGAGGGAAATGTAAATTTAAAAATATAAAAAACCAAAGGATTACATTTACAACTTTAACAGATACAACTTTAAGGACAGTATACTAAAACAGAATGAAATAGACCTCATTACTAAAACAGAATGAAATAGACCTCATTACTCACCAGACTTCTTGTTGTATGGGTAAAGGTCCATCAGGACCCCAATTCTGATTAGATTCCCAGCTAGTTGCACCTGAGGAGGACTCATCTTGATTAGGTTTTGAAGAAGTAAATTGACCCTTGTTTCTCTGCATCCTGGAAAAGATAAAGCATTGAAGTAAGATAGTCAGTTAGCACACATTCTACTCTTTCCTGATCCTATGTTCCCTTGATTTTTGATGAGAAAAATCCAATCAGTGTCATAAACAATGACAAAGAATACAATATAGCATCAAATGCACAACACCTCTGCATTCAAAAATGAGCTAGTGAGTAGAAATTAAAGATAGATGAAAACTGTTTCCTTGAATTGACACAGCTAATGTTAGAAGGTGCATGTGGAAGGAAAGGAATCAGAAGAATGCAGAGGATTAAGTTTCATCGCATCAGAGGCCAAAATTCTTATTGAGTTCTTTATATCCACAAAACCAAGTGTTAATCTGCAAGGTTATTTTGTTTTCATACTTCATTGACTCAACTTTAGATGTGAGCCCTCAATTCCATGTAAATAACATCTCATCCATGTTTTATTCACACATGCCACACCCCAAGGCTTTGATTTTAAACTTTTAGGAGAGAACTCAAATCATCCTGCCAAACACATGAATTTGCAATTCTGCATTAGCCATTGTGCATCAAAAAGGAGAATTAACCTTTCTAATGTCAAATTCCCATCCAACATCAAAGTCTAAAATTTTTTTCTATATAAAGTTCTCCAAAGATAATCATATTTGTATCCTAATGGGAGAGAGAAGATACTAATCTCACACATTTTAAAACATTTTTTCCATGTCAAACTTTAAGAATTTAGCACACAGAATAATACCATGATAAAGCACTTAGGTGCCCACAAAGAAATGACTTACCTAAGAGCCACCTCCTTACGAACTGTATACCGAATTTTCTTGTCAAAATTGCGTTCTTTTCTTTTTTCACGAAACCTGAGTAGTGATGCCAATCTTTGAGGGACATTGAACCTCTGTGGTGTAGGAGCCACCCCCTGATTGAACAATCCAATGGTGAGTATACAAAGAGACAAATGAATCGTAGAGCCCAATGCTAATACGACAACATTACCCTATTATTTGCAGAGGTCAACGGTGGAGCAGGAACAGTTGAAGGAACTTCACGACCCCCTAGCAAAAGAAGTACAGCTTGAACCTGCATAGGATTACATATGAATTGTATACTCTTCAAAAAGAGAGGGGGGGGGGGGCGTGGGAATACGAAATCAAACATGCAACCATATGCAAGAAAATATCCGCTATGAACCATGGATAATTGGAAAAAGAACAATTTCATCATCCTAATCAGTAAAGGCTCAATGCACCACAGGGAAATAATGCTCAAAATTCAGCATTAGACAATGGTTTGAGCCATATGCACATCCAAAATTTTCAGCTACTGCAGTACACAAAAGTTTTCAACAATATAACTGCATTCCTGTTTTGCCCATTGCAGTTCAAAACCTTACACTATGTCTCATATGGGTTGAGAACGGCAACACAGAACATAGGCTAGCGAGAAGGAGCAAATCCCAATGAGAAAGCAATTAAACAAACTGTGCAAAAAAATGTTGCTTCTACAGAAGCAAAGACCATTAAAGATCTGAAGTAGCACCAGAAGAAATCAGACAGTTCCATTAATTATACCATCTGAGGACAGCAAGAAGAGAACTCAACTTTCTTCCGAAGTTTGATTGGGCAAACATTCAAGGTTAATCAGATGTGCCACTGCCTAGAACAGTTTAGACTTTAGACGCTAATGACAAAAAGAGAGACTACCCCTCTCTCTCTCTCTCTCTCTCTCTTTCCCTACAATCAACCACTTTTCCCCTGGGAGCAACAATTGACAACTATGCCGTTCTGAAAGCAAAATCTGACTACTTATCTTATTTTTATGTTTCCTTGTTTTGGCTTGTTGGTTATGAACTTTTGGTAGTTCTTTTTATGAATTCATTTGGCTTTTCTTTATGTTGAAGCAAATTTGTTGTCACTGATGCAGAAGCATATAGACTATTCAAAATAATCCATTAGACAACTGTAATGACCTTCGCAGTTTTTGGGGTATGATTAATTTAAACAGATTAAATTAACAACTTGTATTTTTGGTAGGGAAGGTAGGGAATATTGGAGCTGCTACATAATTTATAGGTACATTGGTTTCATAAACCAATATTAAATGATGCAAGTTGATTTTGTTGTTTGCCAATTAATGAGTTGCCAAAAATTCGGACAATGAGCTATTTTGTCTTTAATGAATTATAATACATCAGCAGCAATGAAGTTCCATACGTAGAAGTTCCAACAAAAACAGCCAAAAATTGAGCATAAAGTTGAGTTTTGGCCTTTTGTGATTTAACAAAAAAGTCAGCATCACATTAAAGTGTTCCGCATTAATTTAGCAAGCAACAAGCAACTACAAGTGTTTGACACGTCAAACTGGATTTAGAATCTAGTTTGTCCTTTACTTTTGTTAGCTATTAGATATGCTTCCTGCCTTCCAATAAACTGATTTGTATCAGAAAAAAATAGTAGGCTTACCTTAATTAATTTTATATACTAAATTTTAAATTCTTTGTTCTAGGAAAGCCAACATAAGAGGCTTTAGAATGTAACTCTTGAATGGCTTATTTGTTTAATGATACTGGTATTTGTTCCTAAATTTATTTGTGAGAAGTGTGACTTCAACATGAGAGAGCAATATAATGAATAAAAATTTAGATTAAATCAAATAGGTCAGTGAAACCTCTTTAAATTAGTCTAAAATCCCTCTCAATTTGAAATCTAAGAGAATGAACTTATTAATCAAATGAAAGACAAAGATCATCGAATAGCCTATAACTTTGTGGTACAAGTGTAAACCAAGGCTAAACTCCAAAATTTGGAAACCATGAAGTTCTAAGTTGATATGTGCTTTTACCCCACAGAGACCAAACAAACTGGTTTAGATGGTGCCTTTGACAAAGAGACCGACAAACCAGAGCCAAAATCACAAAATTAATAAAGTGAAACTGTCCACATGCTCTTGAAATTCTATACATCATTTCTCCAAAGAAATTATCTCATCCCTCCTTCCCTCCAAAATAGATAGCAAAAAGAAACCATCCAAGGTACACATAGAGAGCCTATAATACACTAATTTTTCTATCAATCAATGTCAATATCCATGATATGCATTCTAGATTTCTAGAAGTAACAATCTCATTGGCCCAAGGAAATTATTATCTCCATTGGTTTTATTTCAACATTAATAGATCCTCTTAGAGGCAAAACATCACCAATTACAGGAAAAAAAAAAAAATCTTTTCTTTCCTTATGAAGGATGCAAGGGGAGCTTCAAATTCAAAATTTTCAGCTTATTCAGCTAAATTCCCCCACAAAATACTTGGATCATACCATAATTATTTAACCACTACCATCTGATAAGTCAATTCCCAATCAAGTTATGTGGAAATATCTGACAACTAATGAAGCTCTAATTCGATGAATACTTATTAATGTGTCACTAAATTACACGTATAATTCATCACCAAGTCACAGTGCTAAAGAGTGCATTTCTTATATACAAGTAGGCATGTGGCATGAGAACAAAAGTCACAAAAAAAATAAGCAAGGATGACTATCAACCAGATGCACTTAATGCAGTCAATAGAACAGCAACCACCATGTCAAATAATCAGCAAAGTGAAAAAGGACTTACCTTTTCAGGTGAGACTGAATCAAACACATAAACCTGACCCTGAAATGATAGAGTTAGCTGATTGTTATCGCCATTAGCCACCATCATTCCACCATGGGTATCAGAAACATTTCCAGGGTCATTATGGAGCTCCCCATCAATGCCTTCACCTACACCCGTAACACCATCATCATGATCATCCTCCATCACATTCCCATTATTCATATGATGCATCCCATGACTTTGGTCGTGCATATAATGTACATGCATTTGTTGCTCAGCCTCAGTCATATGCATTTGGGCGTCGTCACCATGCAAATCATCCATATTGACAACAACCCTTTATTAACAACACCAACCAATAAATAGTATCTAGTATACAGTCCCCTGCCTTCTTATTTCACTCCTCCCACTTACTTTATGTTTACAACAATATAAGCACTGTACTTGTTATACATACACAAACATCTCTTCCTCATTACACCACATTGGGATCCAAATGTCACTTCTTCATTCTCTCTCGCGCTATCTCTCTCTCTCCTTCTTCCTCAGCCTCCACCACCTTGCCCAACTCTGGAAATATATGCACATTTCAATTTTAACAGCTATACCAAAAAAATCAATGCAGTTACAATACTAATGCTATCAATTTGCATAAACTCTAACACAAAAAACAAAGCCAATCCATTTTCTACATCAATTTGCCTACGATTCAAACCCGAACCCGAGCCGGGGTAAGAAGGGCGTCTGTCCAACGCCCAGAGAGAAAATTTTCATCTTTATACTTTCATCTTAACATTTTAGGGCAATAAACAAACACCCTCAACACATTAGCAGCTAAAATTTGATTCAATTATCAAATTAGGCTCGAAAATCACATAAAAAAATCATCTTGCTTAAGAATATCAACGAAAACCTAGCAATAAATTCGCTCATTGTAAGCTTCTATAAATTCAGTAATTATAACCAATAATTTAATAATCCAGCTTACAAGAACCCTAAATTGACTATACTGACAATGAAATTAGCGATAAACCCTAGATTATGTAATTGATAATTGTTGAATTTAAAAATATTTTACAGAAAATCATCTTACCACATAAGCTGCTTCAATGGAGGAGAAAAAGTTGAGAAAGCGGTTGAATTTGAGAACTCGGAGTTCTTCAATGGAGGAGAGAGAAAGGAGAATTACGTAAATGTGACACGCATGTTAGGACAATGGTCAGATCTATGTAATTATCAACGGCCAGAATTTTTTTTCATTTATATTTTTTCTTTTACATAATTTTTTTTTTTCTTTTAGATAAACAGCTTAATGTGATCTCATTTTTTTTTTTTTTTGACAAGTGATCTCATTTTTTTGAGTAAATATTTTTACCAATATTATTTTCCTCTATAAAAAGATTAATGTAATGCTATTTGCACAAAAATAAAGAAGGTAGGATATCAAATTAGATTCATTGAATATTTTAATCAAATCAATTAGAGTAAAATATTGAGAAAACTACAAATTTATTTTATGCATATTACTTATATCACTCCCTTTATTGTATAATACGAAATATAGATAGTATTTAATATTTTTTTCAAAAATAATCCTAATTGAACCTTATAGGAACAAATTTGTAAGAGAGAGAGTTTATTTGAACTAGTTGGACTTGAAAATCTATATCTATATTTATACTATATATTAAAAGGCGTAATAAAATATGCTTTCAACAAGATTTGAACTCATAACCTCCAACACATATAGGTGATACTTTTACCATTTCAACCAACTATATTAATGTTTCAAATTTTACATAATATTATAATATTGCTTTAATTTATTAAGTAAATTAGAGGTAATATAATTCATTTATTTTTCACAAGATTAGAATATAAATATATATATGATGTAAAAAAAAAAAAGTGACATCCAAGGTAACGCGCGAACCACTATACACACTAATTATACAAATAGTCGAACATAATTGTTAAATTAAAGCAAGAAGTGTAGAAAATAGCAACACGGGGCATCGCCCGGGGTACACACTAGTTATTATTTTAAAAGTGAATAGAACATTCATTTTCTAGAATGTTCATAAAATTTACGGAGTACAAGATAATTTTCTCAATTTAAGTATAAAACATGTTTATATTGTTCATGTGTTTAACTTGGTTGAAATTACACTATGAATGTATAATAGATTATAGGAATAAGAATTTTAATTTATAGTATATAGTGAGTATAATTGCATTGTCAAAAAGTGATGAATTGATATTAATATAAAATTGGATAATGAAAAACAATTCAACAATAAACAAGTTTAATTTGAACAAAACAACCTTTAAATTGATAAATTCTAAATATCTATGTTTTTGGCCATTTTCACCCGCATTTTATAGATTACGGATAAACATTGACATGAAGCACACATTTACAAATATGTAGATGTATTAATGTGTGTATATATATAATATATAAGTTGAACGGAAGTTGTAAACATCACCCACAAATTTGTTGGATATCTAATTTAAGTACTAGAAATAGGATTTAAACAATGAAAGACCAATTGGCCAATTTAATAAATCTATGGAAATATACATCAATGATTCAATATGATGGAGCTTCAGCTCCTTTTTACTGAAAGGTCTGAAACATTAATTCAACAAACAAAATTGAGAGTAAGTTACAAAGAGGTTAGCTCAATAATGTACATCTTGCCTTCAACTGCAAATTATCTGGAGTGCGGAGTTGTATAAGGGGGTTATCAAAATGCTTGACCGCAGAGGATGAAGGCTTGAACAAGGCTTTGAGCAGTGTGCAGTTGACTTGGAGTTCCTGATATTACGACTCGACCCTCAGTAGCACCAGGATTAGGATCATGAACAATTACGTCTGCTCCAGAAAACTAAAATCAAGAAAACACAGTTTATATCAGAAACCAAAATCAGAATTTATACCTTAGATAATACTGCAAAGGACAAACTCTTGACATGGCTCAATGTCAGGAATTTTATTAAAGCAGTACTGCTAAGTGCAAACAACTTCTTGTACATACATTTACTGTTCTAAACCCACCTGTGTTATATGTCCAATATTAGTTTTGTTTTCTCCATAAACATGAGGTAGCAATATCTGTGGAACTACAACTTCAACAGACGTCACCATCGGCAACTGACCACTGCACCATGGAGAAAAACAAAATAAGCTCGATAGTCTAGAGCGGAGATACAAGAAATCATAAGCCTTACATTCTTTCAGCCTCACCTTTCATTATTTTTTGCAACCATAGCCCCTGTGTCAGAATATCTGCTAGGATTACCAAAGTCAGCAGCCTGGACACGCATATTATAAAATATTCAGTGATCATTCGCAAAACATATTGACAATCACCAAACAAGCAACAGGTTATTCCGTTATTACCTGGGGATGCCACACTTTAGGAGAAGCTGGCCTCTCATATGATAGGCCATAAGAAGCTCTATCACTACCATATTGATGGTGCCCATGGTGGTCATGTTCACCACTAGGTCCATCAACTCTATCCATGTCATGAGGAAATGATGAATGAGCTAGCCCTAGGCCAGCAGAACGATTGTCATAGGCATGAGATAATCCAGCTGGTGAATGATAATGACCAGGAGAAGCCTGATCATGTCTAGGGCGAAATGAAGGAGATGGCAATTCCTGATAGGTAGTGAAGTAAGGCGAGCTACTAACATGAGAAAGGTGGTGTTTAGGTGGAAACAAAACATCCCGAAGCCTACTAGTAATCTGAAATAAAGCATCCTGAACTGACTGCAAACTCCCAATAACCTGTTAAGTATGTAGAATGACCAGTATCTTAGTAAAGCTTTTCAATTATTACCAAAATAAGAGACCAGCAGCAAGTTTGCACTAGAAAACCTTAAACATGAGGTAAGTAAGAGGTCATAGGCAGACAAAGCCATTAACAGCTCATCTGAGCAGACCTTTGGTGCTACCACATGAATATAAATGAGGAAAATTTCACCCAAGCTACAAAACTATAAGAATGTTCCACTTCTGAGTTCATCGAATTTTACCTGCACAACTTCATCATTTTGGATATTAGAATTCAGGCCTTGTTCCCTGCCAAAAATTCGAATACTAGCACCAGTAAGTCGTCTCATTTCAGCAATAATTAGGCCTCCTTTACCCAACAAACAACCTATTTGTTGTGAATGGACAAGAAGCCGGGCAATAACTGCAGCACCTGGTTCAAATCCAACCTCTGCTATTCGGCTGTGCACACGGATGACAGCATCCTGAGCAGGAGAGTGCTTCAGGTCCATACTCTGTAAGAGTTTGAAAAGGAAATTGAATGGACAAGAAGCCGGGCAATAACTGCAGCACCTGGTTCAAATCCAACCTCTGCTATTCGGCTGTGCACACGGATGACAGCATCCTGAGCAGGAGAGTGCTTCAGGTCCATACTCTGTAAGAGTTTGAAAAGGAAATTGAAAATGCAAATGAGTAATCACTGGGATATTAACCTTCTATACACCTTATTATAAAATTGATTTTTGATGCAGACAATGCCACTGACCACAGATAAAGAAGTTAGTTCATCTAATGGTAATGCCTAGCTGACTAGCTCTGCTCCTTCAACAAGTTTCAAAAGCACTATTTCCTGATAAATTGAAACATTCAAGTTTTTATTTTGACACTAGATATTCAAGCACAGAAAGAACCTACATTAAATGACAAAATACTTGAGGCATGAACGATCAAGGGTTTTTTTTTTTTTTTTTTTTTGGTGTATATACAAGTTGTAAAAAGGAAAAGATGTTTCACATTAATCATGTCTTAACACAATATATTAACAAAACTCAACAAGTACAATGTGCACAATAATAAATTCATCTTTACATGCCTCACGTGCGGATACGAATACAACCCGCTCATCTGAATCAGGAGAAACAGTGTCCCCTATCTTGATTGATGCCCCAGTTTCATTTTGAATTGCCCGTACAATGGACCCACCCTTTCCTATCAAACTGCCAATTTTACTTGCTTGGCATAGTAATCTGAAAACAACATCTTCTTCTGGAGCTATCCTATGGCTATGATCAGCAGCATGTGCACCTCTTTGAGGAAAAGCATCTGTCTGACTAGCAATATTTGGTCCTTGATACATATCAGCTTTGGGATGCTCCTGAAGGCAACTTGAAACAGACAAGAGAGCTTTTTTTACAGCTTGAAAATTTCCTGCCATCTAAATTTCAGAAAAAGTATAAATATGAATGTAGAAGAAGCAAGTACCCGGAATAATGAAGCGATAGATGGAACAATTTAACTATCAAAACAGAACTATGAAAAATGATGAACAAGATGTCATTCAGCAAAAGTGACAAATTTCAGGCTTATTCATGTCATGTGTCAACCAATGCACTTCTTGATCTTAAACAATATTCCTTCAAAGCGATAAAAAATAGACATCTACATTGACATTGATCAAACGAGATCATAGCTTCCTCTTCACAACAAGACCCAAAAAAATTATACTCTGATGAATACAATATATACGTTAGTGGGAACACATTTATGATTTATGCCTATGGAGTGATCCACTTACCTAATCAGACAGTAAAAAGTAAAGACATGAGACACAATCAATATAATTAGTAATGAAGTGCATTTCTCCAAAGTCAGTTCAATCAATACCACAGGCTAATATGAAAACCTCTTTGAGATTATGAACCTCTTATCTCATAATTGAGAAATCAGCATCCCAGTATAAAACAGACCATAAAGGCAGTGGTCAATTAAAGGCGAGAAGAGTTCCTCGGCCATGACAACTCTGTATCATCATCAACCTCTAAAGTCCAAAAATCAATAATTGAGTAAATTCCTAATTTGTAACACCGGTAGAAGCAGTAGTAATATTCTAATAGGAAAGGGGATAAGGTATAGATAAAATGGTGTGACAAAAACTTAGAAGGATCACGTCCACAGATAAACATATCGAAGGAAAGCTTATCCTTACCTCCCATGTCATTTTTATCCTTTCTTATACTGTTAAAAATGTCATGCTCCAAAGTTAATCCTGTCATGTTTCCTTACAAGGCATTAGGGTGCCTTTTCTTAATACATCCAAAAATCACCTCATTTCTTGAGTCCTACTTTCAACAGGGGGTCAGTTTTTTCTCATCTTTGAGAATTTCCAATAAAAAAATTCAGTCCAAGGTAACTACAAAAGGCATATTAATCTCAGTAATTTTTCATCCTTTTTTATTTCTTTTAAAGCAGTAATTTTTAGTCTTTTAGATTACACCAAAAATTGTAACTCTTAGATTCCTTCAATTCTTACCAGATAAAACTTATCCCATTTCAGAATTAGCATTTTTCCAAAAAAAGATTAACCAGTTATTCCTGCAGTCATTCCCCCTATACCTTCCTTCTTCCTAGCACCTTCTCACCTCCTGAA